GAATAATTGATGGATTGATGTCATCAAACCCTTCATATAAACCTAATAAACATATTAATCATTCATTTTTAAAGTGTTTTTCAGATTCTAATTAATAAATCGGTTTAATTGTTTCCGGTACTCATTTAGTGGCACTTTTTGGGAAATTGTTTTCAAATGTAATTTAAATTCTTATAAAATTATATCTAAGACTGGATCCAATTTTAATTTTGCTTAAAATAAAAACCCAAACAATTACTAATAATTATTGTTTAAATTGTCATTTTAACTAGTTCATTTTATTCTAATTAGTGATATTTTTGCATTTGTTTGCATTATAAATTATAATGGGTGGGATTGTCTTAAAGTATTTGTAATATACATAAAATTTGATTCAAACGAAATATAATTTATAATGAAATCGACATAGAAACTGTTATGTATATAATACTTGATATAAACTAAATGAATGAATCATATGATAATTGACTGAATTTAATGAATTGAACGGCAGTTGAGTAGACGTGCGATGAGATGTCGTTAGTGTCTCGCAAAGCATGCCTTCAATGCAAACAAACTAAACAAACGGTGTGTTTGAGTGCCCACTGAATGACCACTGAATGCACTATAAGTTTGATTTGATTTGAGATTTCGTGGATGTATTGACAGAATAGTGATGCGAGTGTTGAGGACTAATGCATTGCTGTCCAACTGTGAGGTGCTATCACTGGTGCGAGAGATGCACCACAAGAGACCACAACTGAAGCACAACAAGCAGTTGGCGACCATCGCCTACGAGACCATCAGGTTCTTGGAGGACTCGGCCGCCAACGCACAGACACCTCAACACATCCAGACCTTCGTGGCTCAAGTGAAGGACACGTTTCGGTTGACCAAAGCCGAGAAGCTCCAGATCGTGAACCAAATGCCCAACACTTTGGTTGAACTCCAGCTACTCATCGAAGAGAACGAGGAGAGGTTCAGCGAACAGGCCATGGATCAGCTCATCAACATCATCAACACCACACTCACCACCGATGCTGACGACGATAAGGACACCGATGATAATGGCAACAACACTGATGACACCAGTGAAGACAATTAGTGCTCATTTCGTGGATACACCGCTTTATTGGAGTCATGACTCGTGGTATTGGAAGTGATTCACAGATATAAGACACGAAACAAGTTGTATGAATAAAATGGCATTAATTGTGTGTAAAATGTATTTATTTTATTGTCTAAAATCACCAAAAATTACATTAAAATATGTTTTTCTAATGCCTTTCCAAACATGATCTCTATATTTGATAGTATCATAAACTTTATGCTAAAATCTAGCCATCATTTAATAAATACTACAAAATGTATTTAATTTAATAAAATGTATAAAATTTTAAAATAAATATCTTATAAATAAAGTTATTCTTTAAAATTGCTTTCATGTCTATACTGTATATGATTTTACTCGTGATTTTATCCGATGTCTTATCTAATTGTATTATACTGTATATAATGAATTAGAATTTGATTAAATGATTGAGATTTAAATTACATTTGTATAAAACAAAACAATGAATTGATTAATCGCTTGTAAATTAGAGTTTCATTAAATAAAACATATTAGAAATGATTGCAATCTATACTAATCGTATGGAACTTATTCTATAAGTGTTTGCTAACCATTTCATTATCAGGTAAATACTATTTACAAGTTTTGTACAAAAAAAATTGATCTCAAACTCAGATCAAAAGGTTACTTAAGTAATTGATTTGTTTGCATAGAATATCATAAGACATGGTTCACTGGTATGGTATGAGATAAGGTGCTCATATAAGATCAAGGTATAAGTACAAGGTGCTTGGTCACTCATAAGCAGGTACTGATCTCGACCTCTTTGGAGCAGTGGTCGCACTCGACGTAACAACACCAGTGAAACTTACAGTTACACCTCTCCATCACTCGCTCCCTACGGATCTTATAGCCCCGACCGCAACACATGAGCTCACTATAAGACAATAGACATCAATGATTACGCCATTCATAGGGTTTCATATGCAATGGAGTGACAGACCAGCCATCGATGGCATTTGAGGTGCGATTACAGGCGCGGCCGTGAGTTCCCAAAGAACCGATTTTGTCATTCTTTTCACAGAAGTCGGGCGACGATTGCAGATAAATGAGGTCCGTATCGGTTTGGGGTTTGAAGTAAGGGCTGATGGGCACCAAATAGGGTCGGCTCCCACTCTGAGTTCATTTCAATTCAAAAGAATTATTCAATGAATGTCTGATTATTATTGAGATCATGAGATCATACTTTTGAGGGGAACGGCATGTCGTGATAAGTCATGGACGCGGCTTCCAGTTTGGGTTCTTTGGCCACTGGTTTGGTCACTGGCTTTGCATTCGGAGGAACTTTGAGCTGTACTTCTGTCGCCGATTCAAACTTCTCTTTTAATATATCACCTGAAAAATGGTTAAATAAATAAAGTTCTCAATTTAAATAAATAACTAAAACCATGAAATTGTTACCGATTTGTCTAAATGATGGCATAGATCTCCAGCATGTCTTGAGTTCACAGGAACCGCTAACACCATGACATTTGCATTCAATTTTCATGTTATTGTTGATCACCTAAAGTGGAGGTTTAGAATTGAAAGCAATTCTTGTAACAAAGACTGC